TAAACTGACCGAGGAATGTTTTGGCAGTTTTACTATTTTGCGCGTTATTTTTTTCTTTTATTTTAGCTTTTTAGGAAAACTTTTGTGTACACTGTATAGTATAAAAAAAATAATTATATATCATTGTAAAACTAATAAACTCCTCGCTTCGCTCAGAGTCTGAAATGAAAATATGTTTGAATTCATTAACTAGATTACTTTTCTTTTGCTTGATTATTTTTTTAAAAATATCTGTCACATAAAGAAAAGAAAAAGTTTGAAATTTTTATAGATTTGTCGAATTGAATAGAAAATAATTCAATAAAATTGTTAAAATTATGAAAAATATGCTTCGACCTAACAGAATCTTAAGTTGTCTGTAAAATTATAAATCGTGAATTGTAGCCCAAATTATTTTAACAAGTGTGCTCCCTTTTCTTCAAGCGTATTAAGCCCATTTTACTCTACATTTTTTACTTTTTCAGTCGTTGAAACTAGTTCTTCAAGTCCTCAATGTGACGTTTTTACCCGTTCCCCCGGAACCTGAATTGATAAATATGCTGTTCTTACACAACATTACAAGTCTTGTTTTATTTTATCTCTATAAGATTCCATATCTCAGGTCGTTTTAAGGTCATTTATAATTTAATTGTACAAATAATAATAAAACATCGGCACATAAAAGTATTTATTTCGGGCTGACCATACCAAAAATTAACGGAAATATATCCTTGATTTTTTTTATTTTTTTTTAAATATGAGCTTTGTACACGCCGATCCTGTATAGTGTATATACACAACATTATTATGTATAGAAACAATATTGCGGCAAATCGATATATGGAGCTCATAATAACGGTACAACGATTTCTACTTATTTTGCTATGAATATAATATGTACAGTTTCGATATCGGATACATCAAAGGGGCGGGCGGTGGTGACCGCTGTGAATATATAATATTTACCTATATACTCTCCTTTCACTACCTTACGTAGAGTAAAAAAAAAAAACTTTATAAAAAAAAACATCGCAAAACACAAGTTGTGCTCGTGTTCATCACAAATATACGAGTTTTTGTAGTAACTATTATTTACGTGGTTATTACTATTTACAAGTGGCCAAAAAAAAATACAATATCCCCGAATCTATTGTATTTTATTGTCTTGCAAAAACCTCAAAATCCAAAATCAGTTATATCAGCAAAAAAAAAAAAAAAAAAAACCAACGAAAATAACGTTCATTTCACGAGTTGTTCACGAGAAATATTAAAAAAAAATATACAACGCATTAAAGATTTCCTTGTAGAGTGTATAATAAACAAAAACAAATATTTACCCCCGTATTTTCTATCTAACATTAATGCCTTCCAAAAAAGGGATATTCTATACATACTTTATATACAAGGTGATTTTTTTATCGTGAACTAACAATTTTCCCATAGGATTTTAAGTGAAATTGATTTCTGTTGTTTTTCTTTTAATCATTGAGGAATCGCCTAAGCTCTATTTTAAAATAATTTTTAATTTTTTACTCCTACTCTTTATACATTAAATAGTGTATTCTGTTGTTTTTAAAATAGGAACAACTCTTTTTGAACACAAATTCAAATAGATAATATTTTCTTAAACATTTTGAAATGCATAACACTAATATCATATTTACCGTTTATTAGTTATTACCATTCAAAGTTTAGACCAAAGGAGTAGGGAAGCATATTAAATTCTATATCTATTTTCAAATGATAACCGATAGCTCTTTTCTATACTTCGGTCAAAATTTTAAATGGTTTTAATTCGTAAACAATAAATCTGGTATTATTGTAATACATATACAAATGTCTAGAAAACTAATCTCAGTTCAAATCGGTGTTCAAAAGGTGGCTTCCTATTTGAAAAACAAAAATAATATACTTATTCAAAGTATATAGAATAGCGGAAAAAATCAAATATTAGATTTTAAAATAAAGTACCAATTAATTTCAAATCATTTCCTTATTTTTCCACAAAAAAGAACCGATAACTTGACTCTATTTTGTTATTACAATGGGCACTAAATATTGTACAAACATATTTAAACTAATATACAACTACAAATTGCTCACTTTTAGTTTTAGAAAAATATAAACTGTAGGGAAAAAAATAAACAGAATTTGAAAATATCAAACATAGCTTTGCAAGTCATTGCTTTTGTCAAATCTCCACGGGACTCCCTGTATATTATAACCGTATACCTCAGTGCCGTATACATAATAATATAATATTGCAATACATTCTGATTAATGGATACCTATACATGTGTAATTATCGCGGGAAATAATATTATGATAACGTTAAAGGGGCGGTGTAAACAGAACAACAATGAGCAACCTAAAATAATAACGATAATATTGTTATCGTTCGGAATAATCTTCGCGAAAAACAAAACACAGCACGGCTGAGGATATTGTTCGTAACATTTTCGGAAATAAAACACACATAAAAAAAAAAAAAAGTATACCTAATCATAAAGTCTTTTATACGATTGTTAATCGGTTTTTACGGGTTCGTAGTAAAACAAACACAAAATAATATTTTCACGTTTATGTACCTATACTTACCTACAATAAGAACGTTCTCACAATCACAATAATGAAAATACATAAGTACAAGTAGAATACATAATTATAATATAAATATTATAATAATAAAGAATTGAAAATCGAGTTTTTTCGATTGAATTGTATTTCTACCCTGACGATCAAACTCGTCGAGACTTAACATATATAAAAATTTTGTTTAGTTAACTATATTGATGGCTTTATAGTGGTTAATAACTCCAATTGTAAGGATCAATTTATAAACAGACGAGGTTTAATAAAAAGCGTACTCGAAATGGAAAAATCATAAAGCTATGTTAACATCTTTCAAAATAAAGGTAAAACGTAAGTTTGTGAAAAAAAGCTACTCCGTCACCGTGTATAGTGTGTACCTTGTTATACTAAAGCCGTGTTAACCCACGATTTAATAATCAATTAGGTACCAGAAAATAAATTTAGCCAGGGTATGGGCTATATACTGGTCTAGGTGGGTAATTTCCCACCTAGACCAATAGCTGAAAGGTTTGTAGTATATCTGTAATCTGTATATATATGAAAAGATGAATTAAATCCATTTCCCTAAAAAATGAAATTTGAAAATCCAAATCAATAGAAATCTATATAAAATCATAAAACACCAAATCTAAAATCCAACTATCTGAAATTAATTACACCGTAAGGTATTAATGAATTGATTAAATATAAATATTTATAATATTTATGTATACGTTTTTTGTAGGTATTTATTGGTATTTAGGTATAATGGAATTATAATGTTATAATTTAAATGGCAAATACAATAAAAAAGCTCTAAATAAAATATCTAAGGATACCTTGATACATACAAATTCATATACGTAAATATAATGTTATAATTTAAACTACTGATTTTATTTAATTTAATATATTCTTGATGTTTGTTCATCAAACCAATGCATGTCATATAAATTTTAACCATATTTTATTTTATTAGATTTTTTAAATATAAGGCAAGGCAATTAATATATTTTAAGAATTAGTCAACAGTTAGGAACAACAAATAATTAATAAATCTGGCTGAACAAAAAAAAAAAAAAAAGAAAAAAGATCAACAAAATATAACATGCGGATAAATGTAATGCATGGTAAATGCATTGTAATGCATGCAATATAAATCAAATGTTAGTAACAAAATGATCTAAAAATCAATAAGTGTATTTTTATCATATAAGATACAATGCCTATTATTTAATTAATTATCTATGCGAAATTATCACAAACATAATCAAAAACTCTAGAATAAAACACAATACATTTTGGATTTTACAGTTCAATGAAAAGTGCAATAAAAAAAAACAATTCTGAGTAGAACTCGATTAACTAGAAATATTAAATTGTTATATAAGTAACTATACATTTCGTTTTTTCACATAGTAACTCAGAAAGGACACACACACAAAGAAAAACGTGTGTTTCGTTTATACAGTTTTTCATACCAATTTTCAGATAGATTTAATTAAGAATTTTTAAAAAGTGTTCATATATTATCAATATGTATATTAAGTATCGCCGTACGAAAATTTGAAACATTTTTAAGGGATTTTGGTAGATTTGAAACTTTTACACTAGAAACAAACCTATTTTTGTTAAAAAAAAAAAAAAAATTCTCGAACCTTTGTAAAACTAATCTAGTTAGTTTGCTACATTCAAAATCTAAAATGTGAAAAATGACCACTAAGTGTTTCACTTAAAAATGTGTTATTACTAGTAGTACTCGATTCAGCCCTAATAATGTATTTCAAGTGGGCGTCATAGTATTTTAAGACGTGCCATAAAAAATAATTTTTCAAAATTTAAATTCCATCCATAGTTAAGACTAACTCACTGCCTAAAATAATGTGTTTTAATGTACAAAATACAATGTTTGCAGTTTGAAATTTCAGTCGATTGTAAAATAATTTATTATTAAAAAATGCTACTAAAGGAATGGTTATTTAGGGTGCCAAAAATGAAAACACGTCAATGTGCAGTCTCTCCGAGTTGCCGAATTATATTAAATTATATACTAGTTCTGCAGAGATACAATTATGTAGAGATATAATTAATTTTCCGCGAACAATCTATGTACCTACTTCGAGACGTCGAATAATGATATTTTTGTTATTCTATAAAACGCCTCTACTCTCCATACGAACTCTCTAAACGACAAAGTCGTTTCGTTCCTCGGGCAGTTATTTATAGCTGCAGCATTTTCAGCGAAGAAAAGTTTGAAAATAACGCTAAAAAGAATTTCGGGCACATTGTCACGGTTTCGTTTTGGATTTGTTTGGACATTTTCCGTGTAGATACAATGTAATAGACTAAAAAATAATAATACATCCTAAACAACGAGAATAAAACAATGTCAGGCATAAATATATAAAAATAGTAATGATAATAGTAAAAAATATTTTACATCGGTGTACGGTGCAATATAAAATAAAATATAAATTGTCGACAAGTATCACTCGAGCGCACATTATTACAAATATTGGTTTTTTTGTGAATCGAATTGCCCTCTCTCCCCTCTCACCCCTCTCTCGTCTGCCGCCATTGTATAAAATATAATTTGTTCTTCTGTCGGTTAAACGTGTATACGAGAAATAATAGAAATATTCCTCTAAAGTAGAAATATATCGAATTTACATCATATACACAATCCAAAACGGCGGTGTCTTCAAAAGAGAAGTCTAAAATGAATAATGATAATAATAAAAAAAAAAATAGAATACATTATTTTAATGAGAATAAAACCGAATTCTTTATTACTAACTATATTACAATATTGATATTTTCTAAAAGTTTAAACACGAAAACAAGGCTCGGCAAATTAAAGAGTTCGAGTTTAAATTTGAACTTCACTGTTAACCGTTGATGTTTCATTAACTTAATTTTAACTTAATTTTGTTTACATCAACTAAATAAACAAAAAAATAATTTTGAATTATTCCACGTTAGGTTATACACATCAATTAATTACATTTATATATTATTACAATATATTTAAATAGAGTGCTAAAATATTATATAAATAATAATGCTTGTTTTAAAGTTGTACCACAGTATATTTCGAATCAAAAGTGTTAAATAATGATCGTTGATGCATTTTAAAAAGATAATATACACTGGGTTTAACAATATGAGAATAGATATTCAATGAGAAACAAAACAAAAAATAATTCAAATTAAAAAGTTACCATATGATTAATATTAATTAGTCGAATTTTTAAAATTACTTTTAACTTTACTTATTTAACAACGAAAAATACAATTTTAACGAGTTGACTTTTTTTTCAATAAACTTAACCAAACTAAATTAATATTAATCATTAATTTGCCTCGAGAATATTTTTAACTCGGGATACTAAGTTATATTAAAAAAAAAACAAACAAAAACAAAATATATGTAACTTTTACTATTTAATTATACTTGTGGCGTACAGTTATATGGTTGTACGGTTTGAAATAAATATTTTTTAAATAACACAAATAATATACGATTTTTCATTTATTAATGTGAAAAACAACGAGAAAAACCTTCGGTAAAACTGAAAAGTAAACGTAATAATGGTTTGTGTTAATGACAATTGACTTGTATTAGCACTTTAAAAACGTGTACAAATTTCAGATTCAGAGTGTAACGAAGAAGTTATTAATTTTGTTTACCGAAAAAATACCTTTTCAAGGAGTAAAAACGCACCACCTTTTCACGGTGTATCTTAAAAAAAATTCAGGTTTTTATCCAGTGGGACTTTATTTGGAAAAAAAAATGGCGGTTCTAATTTCTCAGCAGATTTTTTAAACAATTTTAAAAACTAACAAAAAATAACGATACAACGGTTTTTATTTTTGTTGATTTCAGGGTTAATTTGTTTACAAGAGAAAAAACATGACTATAATACTGTAACCATAAAGGCTTACTTAGATCTACTCAGAACCGTTTTTTTCCTACAATGTTTCAGTAGGTACATAAGATAAACTATATCGCTCTTTCCCATTTGTAACGTACCTACCACAGTATTAATATCCTATCAACTATCCAATACTCACTAATATTATTGCCTGTGTGAAGATCGTAGAGCCAATGTACAAGAATCAGTGGCTTACCAGATTTTTGGTTTAATTTTATGGATTTCGTGACTTTTCAAATAAATTATATAATATAAGTTTATAACGGTATGACGGGAAGTGTAGCGAGAGAGGAAAATAATAACTACCTCTCAAAATAATAATTTCTACTCGCACCGCCATGGTGGTTAGGTTATGCATTACGCGTACCCCAGTATACAATATTAAATAATTTCTAAATGCTACTATTAAACACTATAACAATTGATATTAGGTAATTTTAAAATCATAAGATTTAATGTTTTTACTATTTTTGTTATTAACTTTTTGTCAAACATACCCATTGTACATAATTGTCTAGATTGTGGATTTTTTTACTTAATTAAAAAAAAAAAAAAAACTCATTTTTCCCGAGAATACGAAATTACATGGTTATGGTGGTTTGGAAAAGTAAAATGACTGTAAATTCTCGCTTACAATTTTTCAGAGAAATAATACAGAATTAGGCGAGGATTCGAGTGTGTAGATACAGTCGTAAAGGGCCAAAATATAAATTAGGGCACGAAAAGAAGAAAAAAAAAATATATATATAAAGTTGTCGAGACACTATAATACAAGTAGGTACACGAATAGTTGTGCGATTTCTTTTTTTTATTCTATTTTTTTTTTTGTCCCTTTATTTTCGAGTCGTATAGCTTCTTCGTGCCACCGTCACCGCCGCCGCCGTCATTCGCATGTCTCTAAAGATGTTCCGCTCCTCTTTACAATTCTGTACACGTCTTTGTCGACTCCGCCGAAATGTGACGGAGAAAAGACGAAAAAGTTGGTCGATGGGAGCAGTAAAAGAAAAAAAAAATAAAAGAAATCGCCAATACGTGTACGCCAAAAGTTCGTTCGGCAACGGTATATAAAGCGCGCGTATATTGTTTATTAGATGCTCGACCGTTGCACTTTTTAAAACACTATTTCAAAAAAAAAAAAAAAAAAAAAAAAAAAAATGCTGCGACAGATTATAATTCAATGACGTAAATGTGGTCCCGGAGAATTAAATAACAGGTCTTGCCATCACCGAGGGTATCCGTGACTACTGATTATAAAAAACGGGTTTTTTTTTTCAAATATTAAATTCTAATCGAGTTAAACTAAAATTTCCCCGAAAAATTCTAATCCGAAACAATGGTGATCATCGTAAAATCGGAATTTTGGTTTTCCAGTAAAACTAAATTACCGTGTTCTGTCATAATATTAGACATAATTCATTAGCCCTGTCAGGGAAGACCTTCTAGTACCTTTTTGATGAAAAATAATGCGCCTCATGATATGACATTATAGAACAGAGTTCTGCATCGAATCACTCATTAGAGACAATATTTAGGTTAAGGTTGTACATTTTTAATATTTTAACGAATAATCAGTTTAATCCTCAAGTATAGAATGCAGTGAAAACCGGGTATAAAATGTATCTAGTTTTTTTTAAAACATACCTACAACCGTTTCATTGGATATTTTTTTTACCGAGCGCAAATTTTAATTCGATCCCGTACGAACAGTTGTTAAATTCGACCAATGGCCACCAGGTTCTAAACAATTTCACAGTCATATTTGAGTGTTTTATCATGTCACCATTTTGACAAGACATACTCTACACGTATAACTTTGTTTCACGCCTATAAGTACCCAACTTACGTTTGTATTATTTGACATTAGTTAAACAATTGATGCTTAGCTAATTTAAACTTGTAGTCTGATGTTGAATTTCATGTATTTACGTTGTATTTCGAACTGTGATACATATGAAATATATAAATTTGGTATATACCTCAGTGTACCGTTTTCTGTTAATAATAATTAACGTTTTTTTTTTTTTTACATGAATTATATTATTATTTATTTATGATATTTTTTATATTTACACAAGCATACTATACACTTGTCTTTCATTAATGTTGAATTGTCAAATACGATATACCTAGTCGCTAAAAATATAATTCAAAGTTGAGCGAGATTTCGGTATTCATTCGACTTGTTCGTAATGGAGGATTATAACTTCACATCATATCACTAGTAAGTCGCTACTTGTTATTGAAATCTAGTTCATAATCTACATCTGAGTTCTTAACTGTTTCTTAAACGAGTATTTCTCGTACACGTCAAACATTTGGATATTGTGGTTTTGTCAATGATTTATTTTGGAAATGTTACACAATATAACTTTTTTATTTATTGTACTATACAATCAGGGGCGTATTCATGATTTTTCCAATGTGGGAGATAATGAATTTGAAAATCATGTAATCATAAGTTTATGGATATGCTAAACCAATTTTGAATTTATTTATTTTTGTGGGTAATTTATAGATCAATCTGTTCTAAAATTGTCACTGAAAACAAATAACTAACCCTCTTCATTTTATTTTAGTGATTCGGATAGATTTCGTTTTAACCAAAATGAATATGTTTGGGTGTTATTAACATATTAGATTTAAATTTAAATATAAATTTAATACACCAACAAATTTTTAATTTTTCTCACTTTAAGGTAAAGATATTTTTAATTAAAAAAATTAGATATTAAAATAAACAAAAAAGACTATATAAACACTAAAGAAGGATTTATATCAACTTAATTTTACCCTTAAATACGTCACCGGATGCAATTAATTTGTATAATAAGAAGTCATATACAATCGGAATGTAATCTGAAAAATCGTATTATTTTTGATAACTTACAGTCTGTTGGGAATAGTTAATTATCGAATTAAAATAAATTTAGTTTTAAATTGCTCATAAACTCATGTTAAGTAAAATCTACTCAGTAAATACTAATTGAGATATTTTTTTATTTACTATCGTACATTTATTTTTTTGAAATGTATCAATTAACATGATACTGACATTATATAATAATACGAAGCGTCTTAATACAGTATTAAAAGTACATAAAAACCCTTTAATAATCAAATAATACTGTAATACCCTTTTCGATCTTGCAGTTATATTTTCTGTTTAGATTCTGGGCGTAGCGATATATTGGTTTTTTTTATGATGTGTGCATTTTTAAATGTGTTTTTTCTGTCTGCACATAATTTTTCTACAAAAAATCTTTCTCCAATGTACAGAGTGTAGTACCTTTTTTTAAAAAAATAATGTTCTCTAGTTGGTGCAATAAACGGGTAATGTTTTGGTTTTTCGAGGGGTTTTTAAAAATTATTTTAATTTGGAGAATTTTGGAGATTTATATGTAAAATGGCAAATATTTACTACTCACCACGTCGCAAATGTTTTTATTTTTACTACTTATATTTTCTACCATAAATATTGTTTCAATAGAAAAAACTACAAGTAATTTGAATATAATTCAATTAAAAATATTCGTAGAGACTTGAAATTTTGACAGAAATATTATGTTTAGATTTATTACACGTGGTAATATTTTCAAAATTTTGAGATATTTATAGACATTTTGATTTTGCGAGTTCTTTATATTACTTTTATATGGTATAACCTCTGTAGAAAAAATTGTATGATTCAACCGAAAAGCTTAAAAATTTGACAGCAAGAGGATTATTATAAATCGTGATTAGTGGTTAAAAAAAAATTTGAGTGCAGTATTTTTTATCAGAGTTTTTAAATAAAAATACAATTTTGACCGAAATCGTAAATATTACGACCTTTAAAAACATTTCTAATAATCGAACTTCACTCCAAAACGTTTTTCGTTAGCAATGGTTTATCGTTGGTTGTAAGTATAAATTGAATAATATTATACATCTTACTTTCTGCCTACCTTCATCAGTGGCTGAACTCGTCCCCAGTATTGGCTCTTTTTTTTCAAGTTCTATTTTCTTATACTTTAGAAACTAATTAATTTAAATTTGCCTAAACTTTTTTTTTTTTTAAAAAAAAAATATGCGTAGTTAATTATTATTCTAACTTTACGTCGATAAAACGAGCTTTTTTTAACGCTATTCTATAAATCGAGTGCAGCTTGTGTTTGGTACGCAGTGACGTTATTAATAATAAGTTTAATGGAGTCACTTTTATACGAAAAAAAAAAAAAAACCCCCCGACTCGATGTGATAATAGCGTTTTGTAAAAGACGATGGTAGACATTTCTTTTTTTTTTTTTCAGTTTTACCGTCGGAGCGTAAGTACCTACGCATTAACTGCGTCCGTATATAAAATGGAATTATTATACGGACTAAATTTTATATATTATTCTTATTGATAATTATTGTGGTAGTTTCACTGCGGTCGTCGGTATTTTTCACGACGAAAAATTAATAATAACTGCGATTTCATTATAATACGCTTATAATAAATTATTACGTTTTTAAGCTCTACTTATATTTTGTATTGTATGTATATTACAATATACCTGATGTCCGTGTATCCGTTCAGTAACAAGTCGACAAATCGAAATAACTGCTGCAGGTGTTTTGAAAACTCACCTACCTCATATTATACTTATATATTATTATGTATTTACTTGTTTCCGTTATAGCGTTAAGTTTTTTTTTTTTTTTTTTATATAGACCGCGTGGGTATAATATCGCGTTTAAAATGTATACCCCGGCGGTGTTTTAGGTTTTAAGTTCGGAAAGGGAGAAAAGTTTTGTAAAACCGCTTTACACGCCGTCTTTGGCCGATAGAACAAGAACAATAGACCACACCGTAGTATTGCAGTCGGACGATTTTCAAAAACATATCTATAGACTTCGTTATCTATATAATACTAGGTACTTATAATGTATTTTTTTAATAAATCAACTTTTATGAATTCACATGCTGTAATATTGACTCATTATTAACCTAATTGCGAGGTTTTTTCACTCATTCAAATAGTAATTGTTATCTAAAAAAATTAAAAATATAGAAAAAAGTGGTTTTTTTTTTTTATGTTAAATTCAGTGTACGGCTGATAAAAATCTAGTCTTTGGCATTGTTAAATCCCAGTCAGTAGCACAACCAAATGAACAATGTTAGACCGAAAACAAACAAAAAACAGCAGAACCGCCCAAATCGCCCTCTTTATGCCACCGTCGTTACGGCACCCGCACACTGCCACCGTCACCGCTGGTGTTGTACACGGTCACCCGAATTGCCTCTTTAACCACCGCTACAACTTTATCGAGCAACGCCACGTCACTTTACGCAAAATGCCAAAATTCAAAAACTAAAAGTGCCTATAAAGAGCACAAAAGACTTAAAAAATTTACCCACGTCAAAGTCTAATATATAATATAAATATTCTGTGAATATTTCAGATCTCTACAATTATTTTTAACCGACTAAGAACAAAAGTTGAAAATAGCGAAACCGTGTATTTTCTCGTTTTTCTTGTTTCTCTAATTCTTAAAAAAACGACAAAGAAAATCGAAAAATCACTTTATTAAAAGCACTAATTTCATTCAATATGCTACTTGTAATATTTTTGTTGAAGAAAGATTTCTGGTAAAATAAGTTGATAACAGACAAATAATAGTGGTGATTCTGGGGAATGGTGATACTACTGTAGAAAGTGGAAAGTTAGAAAAGTAGTATACAGAAGAAAATTTAATTTATATCTATACATAACGATAAATCATTGATAACGAAAAACGATTCTGAGCACAGTTCGGTCAATAGTATTTTTTTTTAACAATGTGCGTTTGAAAAACAACAACAATTGTTTAAAAAAGATTAAAAGATTAAAATAATTAAAACAATAATAAAAAAAAAAAAAAAATACTAAAAATAAAAACGGTTGCCAGAGACGATCTTACTTTTAATCGTAATCTTTTTTTCTCATTATCTCTAGTATTAATTAGAATTTCAAAAAAAGATCTTTCTGAAGTACCAACTAAGGCTAAATGCAACAAAGAAGGTCACTTTTCATGGTTTTTTCTCGGGCTTACTTTTACGTAAGATTTCAAGGATAAAAATTGTTTACATACAGACAAATAAATAATACACATCATAGTAAAACCAATAAATCCCTCGCTTCAAACAGAATCTAAAAATAATATTAACAATAACAAGCACGCGCACTTGTAAAACTAATACACTCCTATTACTGTGCTCAGAATAACAAAAATAAATATAAAATGATTAAAAAACTATTCTTGTATTGAATAAATTATAGATAGTCTAATAATATGTAGGTATTATTTCTATTCTCTAACTCCAAAACTGTTTTAAAATAATAAATTATTATGTTGTACAATAGGCGTTTAATACAAAACGTTATGGGTTGAAGAAATAAGAGATGGTGGTAGGCCTGCTAACGTTAGCATGTATATCGAGAGTATATTTGAAATTCTGCTCCTACACCTCCATTTCTGCTGTCACCATATGTTAGTATGTAAACGACTACCTCATTTATCCTTAGTTTGCTTAATACAAATACTTGAACGTCTCTTATGCACAATTCGTAATTAAAATATAGTTCACCGTATCACAAGTAAAAAAAAGTGGACATTATTACACAAAATGGTAGGCCACTATAAATTGAAGTAAAACATATAATAGATAGAGAGGAAATTTAATATACACAAAGATTAATCATCGCTAACGAAAAAAAAATTCTAAGCAGAGGTCAGTTATACTTGTATTGAAAGACCGTAATATTTACGATTTGAAAATTCATACATTTTCTCGTATTCCCCACGTTTTATCTCATTCGCTATGAAAACCCTTAAAAATATTAAAGGAGATTTCCTTAAAGTAGCATCCAGTCAGATTTTATTTCAGTGAAAGTGCTACGTGTAAAATTTCAGATAGAAATGTGGTTCATATATAAAAAAAGTTTAGAATCTAAAATATAATATTTACTCAATTTGTATCTAATTTCTAACTACATCCAAAAATATTATTGTTGCAATATTTATTTTTATTACTTTTTTGCATTATATATAAGACTAAATCATAATTTTATGTAAGAACAATATTCAATCCATTAAATATTTTTTTATTATTATTTGTATTATCTTTTTTTAACTCGGCTTGATCATACATAACATTTTATTCTACGCCAGTAATAAAAAAAAGAAATTTAATAGCTGCGTCGTTCATTCTTGATTTTTTTACCAAATTCTTAGGAATTCTTTTTTTTTATTCGCCTTCTACATTGTTACACGCACGTGACGGGACGGTAAAAAAAAAAAAAAAACAAAAAATAATTCGTCCAAACATAGGATCGGGTGACGACAAAAAATTAGTGCTCACGTCACCTCCCGGTACGTGGTCCTTTTTACCTATAAATAAAAATGTTATTAGTAGGTACAACGTGCCATACGGATTTCCGTAAAACAAACCTATTATCATAATGTTATATTTTATAAGTTCCTGTGGACAAACGCCAGATGCAGCTGCTATATCGCAACGGCATTAATTGTATTTCGGGGGGTTTTTTTTTTTTTTAAATATATTCCAATTTCAGACGAGCGTACCATTCTTAATAATGAAACGATTGTTTTTAGCAGGTTACCCCCAGACAATGTTGTCGTCCTAACCGACCGCGCAGCGAGAATGATAATATTAAATTTAAGGTGCGTTTCCCCGGTTGGGAAAAAAAAACCTATCTTTAAACTTGTCAAAAGACCGCAAACAATGTACCGGCATGATGTTCCCGCGGGGCGGACGGCTTTAAAAATAATTCGCGATAACATTTTGACGATGTTCGTAAAACCGACCCGTCCCTCCCGAACGACCGTTCCGATGAATTTGTGTTTTACCTTTTTTTAATTTTTGTTTTTTTTTTCATCACCCGGAGATTGTAATAGGTACCCGCCATAAAATATTATTATTATCCGCCGTCCATCGCCGTCACTCGAGTTCGCAACGACGCAATAAACATTACTATAGTAAAGGTAATATAATATTATTATGTTAAACGCATTCAAATTTATTAATAAATTCGTCGCGGAATTACACGAGTTTTGTATCCTAATCAGATTATTTTTCGCCCACCGTTCGAATTACATCACGCGCGTGTCCTGAATAATCCTTTTTTACAATTTCTTTTATTTCACAAGTTTCATCAAATAAAAATAATACAATGCTCATTTAACTATCGGAAATAAGCGTACAGACGAGAGGACGGGCAGCTACCATCCATCGGTCTGTGGGCTGATTTTTTAAAAATTTTTTTTTTTCGTAAATTGTAAATATTATATTATGCAGTTGAAGATTTTTTAAATTTTGGAATATTTACGATAAGATTTTAATTATATTATATCATTAATGTATCTATGTCTTAGGGATCTTATTCAGCGATTATGTGTTATTAATAGGGCCGGAAATTAAATGCTAAATAGTGCCCGAAAAATTCAAAAGAATGCACTGAAAATGATAAAATATTGCTTTAAAATCATACATTTTAAAAAAACCATTATAAAGTTTCTTATTATCATTCAAAGGAACTTTCATGAAATAGTATATAACAAAATAAACCACTCGTTGTCTGGGTTTTGGTAATACAATTGTCTGATTAATCAAAAAAAAAAAAATATCATGAAGTACACAATAAAATTATTGGTGGTCATTTTAAAATACATAGATTTATATTTAGAAAAATTACCAATATTTCCAGAAAGGAGAATGGGTAACTTAATCTCTGTATGTGGTGTCCCATTGTTATTATAATACCTTTACAGATAATAAAATAATCAAATAAATTCTATTTTTTTTAATTACTAATTTGGGTAAGGACTACAAATATTTATATTGCAATTAATTGTTTATGTTTTGATAAAAACTTATAAAATACCTTTTTATTTTATTATTTTTTAAATATTTGAAACAAAGACAAAGTCTTTCTTAAGAGTTAATTTTCTAACAAATTTTGATGTATCGACTTTTTATTTTCATTAAGTTCGTGATTTTTAATATTTTTTTAAAGTTCTGAGAAAATGATCTCTAATTATACATTAGGCTTTAATTGCAATCACTAATTGATTATTATTATTATAACGATATTAATTGTACACTGGTTTTCTCTGAACTTTAAAAATTATTAAAATTCACGAATTTAGAAATTTATAATACACAAAAATTTAATACTTTAAAATTTTTTTAATAATTATATAAAATGGAAAAACTTTATTCAAAATTTCCAAAAATATTAAAATCCAGTTTTTTTTAAGTTTTTATTAAAACGTAAACTATTAATTTCAAAAAATGTCGGGAATTATTGTAATCGGTATATCTTCGTGTGACACTCTATATCGTATAGATCATTTATGTGGTAGTGGAGTTTTCTATTTTTTTTTTTTTTTTAACTTTTTTATTTAACTTAAAAACCGAAAATTTTATGGGCACCCTGTCTACAGTGATTTTATAATATACATGAGTTTTTTTTTTCTGATTATTACTGTGTAGTTTGATGTTAAAAATCAATTTAATCATTTTGTGACTATCGAGGTCAAAAGTGTTATACACGCATACTTTTATTATATGATTATCTTTTTCCAACGAATAATGTTGTAACAAGTTGAGGTAAAAAAATAAAAATGAATTAATTTTGATGGTTAAATATTTTGTCTGAAAATAATTTTAAATAACCAAAACGTTTTTATATTATAATCGTTTATAATTTGGACTGACGGAGGTTCTTTATTGTATTTTAAAGTTAGGTATATTAGGAGACTGCTTAATTCTGGATTAATTATGAATTTAAAGTATTGATTTTAAAAGAGCTAAAACTTATTATAGTCACTGTTAATTTATATTTATATTTTTTTTTTTTTTTTTTTATGTACTCGTATAGAATTAGAAGGAAACAGCTGAGCATTAAATGTTTGTTATTTGAAAGGAAAATATATTTTGGACCACTGAATAACGTAACCGGAGAGTAAAAGCATGAAAGTAAAATACGAAACAGTAAATATCGTTTGAAAGTTATAATTTTATAGGAGACAATCGGAAATGGAAAACTTAACTGTAGATTTAACTAAAATTATAATAGAAATGTAGGGAGAAAGATTAGGTTAGATTAGTTTCAGAGGTTATGGGAAAGGTTCGGTCTAATATGCTCTTGAACATTTTTTTAAATATAAGGGAAGCATTCACTAAAAAAAAAAAAAAAATGCTCTGTTTTACTTTAATTTAGGTTTTATGACGAATTTTAAACTTTTGTATACGATCGGTTAATTGAAGAATTCCAGTTGTTTATTTGCCACATCTTGTTCATTTATATAATATTATTTATCGTTTCGTACATACAAAAATATAAATTAATTCTCTTTCTCGTAATTACTACAAATTATATTCCTTTGTTTGCGACAAATTAATTGATTTCGTCATTTGACTCTAGCTGCTGCTATACCAATAAAAACTTGTAACAACGGCCGATTCTATGTATAGTAAAGAGAAAAAATATAGAAAAAGCGGCTTAACATTTGTTTTCTTTTAGAAACTATACATTTTATGCGTTTAAAAAATTGGTCATTTATGAGATTTATTTTATGTATGTAGATTTAAAATTTTAAAAAAATTTTTAAATTCGTAAATGTATTATAATATAATGTAATTATATTGTGATAGGTACTGAAATAATTATGGTCGGTTGTTGTAATTATACAACGAAATTGAATGTTGCGTACGTCGAGGACATATTTATGCAATTTATTGGAATTTCATGACGAACACTACTTCATATACGTATCGGATAAAACCAATTGTTAACTTTTATTTTACATATTATTCATACCCATGGCCCCTATATAATACATGAATAATGATTTTATTTTTTTTTTCTTATGTACAATCCGGTATCCGCATACCTACCATGAATCACCAATCGTTTTTTAAATAAACTAAAATAAACCGAGAGAAACTGAAGTATCAGAGTAGCGTAAGCTTCTGATTTTCATCGATTGGACTGAAAATCAACGGGGAAATCAAAAAAAAGTCTTCAGAACTCCACTGATAGTTTAGTAAAAACCGCAATCCAAACTTCGCAATCGTCTCCAAGTTCGGCTGACAAACACGGACAAATTCACAATGTAACCTACATTATACTTAAAAATATGATCGAAAATTATAATTTCCGATAAATTTAATCTTTCTTCATATAATATTAGCGTTAGATGAATAATTATGTCTTTAAAAACCGTACCTATCGAATAATAAATAAAACTAATTCATAGTTTCAAAAATTACTTGACTTTTTTACATTTTTAGATTTTTTTCGCGTGACTGCGATAATAATTAAGAAACCATATTGACGTCTACTTTTTCTTCTTTACAAAACGTTTTTCGGATATACGAGGAGATAATAGGAGACTACGGCATCCGTCTATAAAATAAATTTCATTGGTTTTACCGTTAATTTTAAACACAAACAATATCTATAAGAAATTAAATTGTAACAATAATCATTAGCGATTTAAACAAAAAACTTTTTTCGTAAATTACTTATCAGTAAACCACTATGCACGTGTTTATCTTCTTAATTAGTGATATTCGTCTAACCTTTACAGTTTACTTTCGGTACATGTCATTCGAATGTTTCGGCATGGTAAATAGCAAATGAGAAAATTCGGTTCTTGTTGTTGCCTTTCACATTTTACACCGTTATAATAAATATCAATTTTATTATAATCTGAGCCTTTTAATACACTGTATATACTGTGTTATATACTTT